AAAAAAAAAAAAAAAAAATAGCTGAGCATTGTGGTGGGAGCCAGTAGTCTCAGCTACTTAGGAGGCTGAAAAAAGAGAATAGCTTAAGCCCAAGAGTTTGTGGTTGCTGTGAGCTGTGATGCCACAGCACTCTACCCAGGGTGACAGCTTGAGACTCTGTCTCAAAAGAAAAAAAAAGAAGAAAAGAAAGAAAGAAAAAGAACTCAGTTCCAGACCAGGAGCTGGGTGGGGGGGCCTGGGACCCAGATTGGGGGAAGGGCAGTCTTCTCTCTTGCAAGAGAACACAGTAGAGAATTCTGGAGGGGGATGGTGGTTCCTAGGGACAGGGATGGAATCCCAGGGGGCTGGAGCTGAGCAGTGAAGGGTTGAAGGAAGGGGCAGAGCAATCTGGATAGAGGAGGAAAGGAGAGGATGGGAAGGGAAATATGAACCACAGCCCCTTTGCCACCTATGTTCCTCCTGGGAAGACACTAGAAGCCCAGTCAGTCTCCAGCCCTCCTCACCCAGCCCCTCCCCAGGCCTGCTTCTCCTGCTCCCTCTCACCGCTGAGTTGAACCTCAGGTGACAGATATTGCAGGAAATGAAGAGCTTCTTCTTGAGAGGGGAGGGGACCCCAAACGTGTGGCTGATGACAGCTTTCTGCACTGGGTCCATCTGTGAAGGAGGTGGGAGGGGACAATAACTCTGGGGTTGGCTCAGAAGGGGGGGCAGTACAAAATGCCCCAAACCAAAGACTACTGGGGAGGGCTGAAGTCAGCCTCTAGGTAGGAAGAACTTCCCCATCCTGTGAATGTTAGACACAGAAAAAGAAAGACCTTCGTTCCTGGCTGACTTTATCTCTCAGCCTAGGCTTCTGTTTGGAGGCAGGAGGATGGCCAAAGTGATCTACAGGATTCTGGGAAATAGAACTGAGTCTTGGTAGACACCTTGGCATCTCTTGTGGCCCTTTTGGTCACTTTTTTTTTTTTTCTCCTTTGCAAGAATTACAACTATTGAGACAGGGAGTTGGGCACAAGGAGAGACAGGGAAGGGACAAAGGATCCTTCTGTTGGAGTTTCCTCTCCACACCTCACCTGGACTTGTGGCCTGGGGGATGATGCCCTTATCTCACCAGATCTGCCACAGTCACAGGGCCTGAGGCTTCTGAACTCTTGAGAGAGTGAGAGCTAAGTTGAGGAGGTGGGGGGCTAAGCAGGGGGCAGGCAGCAGCAAGTGGAAGTCTGTGGGTTCCCTGAGTAGTAAGATAATTTCTTTGGACTATTAATCTGTTTTTTTTTTTCTTTTCCTTATTTTAAGTCATTTTTTTTTCTTCTATCAAACCAAGGCTTTATATTCCCTTTTCTCAGAGGCCTACATGAGCAAAAGCAGGAATTGCCCGGACTTGTCAAGAGAAACTTTCCAAACTGTCCCCAGGGAACCAACCAGAGCTTTTAGAGAAGTGTAGGGGTGCCGAAACTTCCCTGAGAATAGAAAGAGGTTCCAACCCTCACAGTGTCCAAAGCCGATGAGATGAAGTAAAATTCATAACACCTTTGTCATTCACACACATGAAAATATATGGATTCCTACACAAGACACACAGCACATAAGCTTGTAGGCAGTTACAAATTTGCAAACAAGCAGAATGATATACACTCACATACATACAAATGGCACATGACCACAAACTCATAATCACCCAAACCCACACAGAAACACATGTGCCCAGAGGTCAGACATACACAAAACTTACACATAGAAGACAAAAAGATGAAGAAAACAAAAACAACCCTCAAATACATAGGCACACACATTAATTACATACAGTTATCCAGATACAGAGTTGTTTAGAAACACACACACTGGAGACCAATATACAAATTCACATCTACGTATAACACATAAAGACCCATAGACACATGCTCTACAACAGACAAGCACACCTGAACTGCACACAGACACACACAGATCATTCACAAAAGTTCCTATACAAAAACCTAAGTGGAACCCACAGACTATAGCCCTGTAGGCCCAGCAGTTGTGATGACAGGGAGTAGAGACAGGGGTGACCCACCACAGGGTGACACCATCTTATTCCCCAGTCTAGGAGAGGGCAGGGCTTAGGGATCCCTATTTGGGAGCACTAGTCCTATTGGGGGACATAGGAGAATAAACTCTTGGTTAGACCCAGCTGCTGAGAGCTGGCCCCCCTGAGCCCACCTTCTGCCCACCCGCAAGCTTGGCTGCATGCCCCCACCACCAGCCTGGCCCGTACCGTGCTGAAGTTGGGGAAGAGACTGAGCGGGGTGGCGCCATTGAAGTGGAAGGCCAGCAAATGCTTGAAGTCCAGCGGGGGCTGCAGAGGCCGGGAGGGCAGGGGCAGGGAGGCCAGCAGGGGGCTGGGGGCACTGGAAGCCGGGCCTGCTGCAGGAGGAAGAAGGGCAGAGTCTGAAACAGGGAGCCTCCGGGCTCTCTCCTACTTCTGCAGCCACAAGAGGCTGATGGGCTTCTTGGTTGTGGAGCCAGGGTAGACTCCTGTCTCCTTCGCAAAGTGCCACCAGCCAAACCCAGGGCAATTATAGGTGCCATTTCTGTGCTCCTCCTCCCCACAGTTGGGGAAACAGAGTCCACAGCTCAAGCCTCCCAGCCCAGAAGGATGACCCTCCCACCCCTATACAGAGAGTATAATAGCCCCCTGAACCTCCAAGTGGGGGTGGGGTCCAGCCAAGAGCCAAGAGAGACGGGCCCCTCACATACACACCACCATGGAGACTGCATGATGCACTGGGTTTCCACTTTATTGCAAATTAAACTCAAACCCAAGGGTCTAGGGAAAAGGCCAGGCCCCTCTCCTCTCACTCTGAATATACTTCCCTCTCCAGATCCCCACGCCATTCACATCAAGGGCTGACATGAGTGAATGGGAAACCCATGGGATCTGATTGGATGTGAGCTCCAGGTCTGGTGAGGCCAAAACCACTTCCCCTAGGAGGCAAACATGGATTCCCGGGCCAGGCCTGAGCCCAGTACCTAAAGGCAGCAGGTACGGCACTGTGGTCCTGCAGTCTTTGGTCTTAAAGGTCTGAGGCAAGGGCAGGAAGGGCTAGGAACTTGGAGAGCAACCAGACTTTGAGGAGGAAAAAATTAGAAAAAAATCCAAGGGACTTTTTTGGCCCTTGTCATTGCAAAACCAAAAGAGGTCCTTTAAAATTTTTGTGTGTTAATGCTATGAAAGATAAAAGAGATTTATTTTACATTTATAGATATGTATGTCTATGTACACTGTCACATACAGAAAGCCCACTGACAGCCTATTGGTGAAGAAGGGAAGGGGGGCACGACTACCTCTCTTGAACCGTTGTGCCCTTGAATCATTAGCTTGTGCGCAGAGAGGGTGCTGTGCTGTGTGTCAAAAAACAAGTATGGCACTCACATCTGAAGAGAAGAGATACTGTCAGCAGTAGGTCTAAGAAACAAAGACCAATTTTCTTTTTCCTTAGTTCCCAAGGCCGGGGCTTCCTCCCTCCAACCAAGAACCCTATCTTTTCTAGGGTCAATACTTGAGCTGAGTCCAGAAGAGAAAAGGGTGAGCTACTTCTCTTTAACTCTGCCAATGACAGGAGGGACTTAGGGCTCCCCAGACCTGAGCACCTCTGCCCACTGGCCCAGGCCCCTCTGGGCCCAATCTGATCCTCTACATCCCACAGGGCTGGGCTGGTGCTGTGTGAGCAGAAGCAGCTGGGAAAGGCAGGAGGCTGGCCTCTGGGCCCTGGGAGGCCACAGTTAGGTCAACTTGAGAGCAGCAAGGTCAAGCCCGGTTTGGCCCTCAGAGTGCCCAAGGCCCCCGGCTGGCTGGGAGAACATAAAGAGGCCACCCTTAGGTGAGTTGCGGCCCCAGAAGCCCCTTACCCCACCCACTCTCCAAGAACTCCACGGCCAGCGCAAAGTCAAACTCGTGCAGCTGGGGCCCATCCACTGCGATCTTCACCACGTGGTTACCCCGGCCTTCCCCAGCCCCGGTCTGTCCCCACCACCGCAGCTCCCGACAGCGGCCGACCTTGTCCAGGAGGCCGGCGCCCGCGGGTAGGGCTAAAGCCAAGGCGGCGAGGGCGGCGAAGTCGGGGAAGAGCTCGTGCAGCTCAGAGTGCGCGCACGCCAGCTGGGTGCACAGGGCCCGGGGGCCAAGCCGCCCAAGGCTGAACACCACGCGCTTGAAGAGCGCGAAGTCGCCCAGAGCCCGCTGGCGCACCACGGCGGGCGCGAAGTCGCGCAGCAGCACCCGCAGCGCCCCTTCTCCATGAGCGCCCAGCTCCTCCGGCGCCTGCGGGTAGCGGCGGGAGTCGAAGATCGCCGCGAACGCGGCCACGGTATCCAGCGACGGCCCGGGATAGGAGTCCCGCAGCCCCCTCTGTATAGAGTCCAGGAAAGACCTCCGGAGCCGCTCCAAGCTCCGGACCGCAGCCTCAGAGTAACCCAGCAGCTCCACCCCGCGGTAGGTGCAGCGCCCGCCATCGGCGTGGGAGTCTGAAGATGCCAATTCCTGTAGGAAGCCCTGCAGGCGGGCCCCACCTGAGCCGCACTGAGCTTGGAGGGAGGATGCAGCTGCCATCACCAGGGGCTGCAGCAAGGCCAAGTCCGGCTCTTCTGCCTGCAGGACAAGGGCGAGCTTCTGCACAGAGGGCAGAGCGTCCAGCAGCAGGTGCGTGAAGGCCATGAAGGTGAACTGGCGCAGGGCCAAGGCCAATGCTCCAGCCGTAGGGGAGGCTGAGGCTGCCACTTCCAGGGTAGGCACCAGGGAAGGCCAGGCTTCAGCCACGGTTTCCACGACAGGCAGCAGGGAGGCCCAGGGCACTAGTTGAGGCCCTGCCAAGTCAATAGCTGCAAGGTCCAATGCTGCCCTGAGCTCAGGTACCATATGGGAACTGGGGCCGCCATGGAGGCGGAACAGGGCATCCAGTATGCTTTCATATTCACTCAGGTAGGCAGGGGGCTCAGGGTCTGTCCGACCAGGGAGGCAGTGCAGCTCTGTAAGCAGTGGGCAAGTGGCCTGGAGCTGGGGGCCTACACTCCCCAGGCGGCCACTGGGGAGGCTTGAGCTGAGCCAGGCGAGCTTGGGTGCAGATACGCCAAAAGCCTGCAGGATGTCCAGGAGTTGGCCAGCAGTGGCCTTGCCCTCCTGCAGCTCCACACTGCCCAGGAAAGTGGTGGCAGGCTGGCCATCACAAGGGGACACTGAAGTGGCAAACAGGGCTAGACTGTGGGACTCTGGCCAGTCCCTGGTCTCATCCAACACCAGCCCCACATATGGGGATGCCTTCAGGCGCTGGCAGGCCTCCGTGTGCAGGACACTGGCAATGGCCACCTGGGACAGCCAGGGAAAGAAAGAGAGAAAGGAGAGAGTTAGCTGGTCCTGAGAGGGGTGGGCAGACAAGTAGGGCTGAGTGGTGGCGAGAACATAGGTCTTGGTGTCAGATAGACATAGGGAGTAATCCTGGCTTAGCCACTTACTGGCTGTGCCACCTTGGGCTAGTCAATGAAGTCTGGCTAGTCTCTTAGCCAGTTTTCGCTGCTCTATTTGTATTTTCCTTTTTTGAGAGAGGGTCTCTCCCAGGCTAGAGTTCAGTGGTGCCATCATAGCTCATTGCAACCTCAAACTCTTGGGCTCAGGTCATCCTCCTGCCTCAGACTCCCAAGTAGCTGGCTTTATAAGTATACATCACCACAGTGGGCTAATTTTAACATTTTTTATAGAGAAGCAGTCTTGCTGTTTTGCCCAGGCTGGTTGTGAACTCTTAGCCTAAAGCAGTCCTCCCATCTCAGCCTCCCAAAGTTCTGGGGCAGGTGTGAGCCACCACACCCAGCCATGTTCTCAGCTCCAATACCTGTTCTCAGCTAGTGCCCACACCAAATCATAAAGAGCTCTAGGGAGAATGGTTTTTTCATTGTGTTTTTCTTTCTTTTTTTTTTTTTTTTTTTTGAGACGGAGCCTCAAGCTATCCCCCTGGGTAGAGTGCCATGGCATCACAGCTCACAGCAACCTCCAACTCCTGGGCTCAAGCGAGTCTCTTGCCTCAGCCTCCCAAGTAGCTGGGACTACAGGCGTCCGTCACAACGCCCGGCCATTTTTTTGGTTGCAGCCATCATTGTTGTTTGGCGGGCCCAGGCTGGGGATTCGAACCCACCACCTTAGGTATATGTGGCTGGTGCCTTAGCCGCTTGAGCCACAGGCGCCAAGCCTCATTGTGTTTTTCTACAGCATTGCCCCAGCCCACCTTGTTCCCAGGGTCTCCATCATCTTGTTCAGGAACTAACTGAAAGATACATGTACTCCCAGCTCCTGACCAGTTACACAGGGGCTCAACTGTGTGCTCTTTTTGTCTCTTGGTCATTTATCTGTAGGATGAGATCCAGTTTCCCTCTGTCCTAACCCCAGCACATACATAGCTAGTTCCTAGGACACAGCTTCCACAGCCTGTGAAGGTGATATTGAGCTTGAAGGGGGCCAGGGATAAGCTGCGGGGAACAAGAAAGACTGCGGCAAGCCCATGCACTGTTCTCCAGCTCCAGCACATTCTGTCCTGACAGCATGGGGCCCTCACTTTTCAATAGAAGCCACAAATACAGGCTTTTATATGTAATCTGATTTTTGCTTTTTTAGAGATATGAGGTCTCATTGACCAGGCTGGTCTCAAACTTCTGGCCTCACGTGATCCTCCTGACTTACCCTCCCAAAGTGCTGGGATTACAGATGTAAGCCACATCTAACCTGTCCTGATCTTTTTTTTTTTTGAGACAGAGTCTCACTTTGTCACCCTTGGTACAGTGCCATAGTGTCATAGCTCGCAGCAACCTCCAAATCTTGGGCTCAAGCTATTCTCTTGCCTCAGCCTCCCAAGTAGCTGGGACTATAGGCACCCATCACAATGCCCAGCTATTTTTAGAGATGGGGTCTTGCTCTTGTTCAGGCTAATCTCGAACCTGTGAGCCCAGGGCAATTCACCCTCCTTCAGCCTCAGAGAGTGCTAGGATTATAGGTGTGAGCCACTGCACTTGGCCCCTGTCCTGATTTGTTAAATTTGGAAACTAATTTGGGTTTTTCAAAAACACTGTGGAAACCAGTACAATATTGTGGGCCAATGTTTTAGGCCAACCAGTAAAATTTGTGGGCCAAATAAGCCCCCAGGCCACCCATTTGTAACCTCTAGTGTTAGATGGTAAGAAGAGCATCCCTGTATCTCACAAAGACAGGGCCTGGTCCGGCCTCTTCACAGTTGTACTCCCTGCAGCTGGCCCATATAGTAGACCTTCAGCGAAGGTTCTAGAGGGCGAAGGTATAAAGTGCCCTGGCTGCTGCCCAGGGGCCTGGCATGCTGGGGCTGTTCCCACATGGCTGTGTGTCCTCCCTCCCAAACCCCCCCCTTTACCTCTGGCTGCCACCCACCTGCATGTCCCTCACTCTCCTGGGGCTGTAGTAATCACCATGCTCTGTGCCCAGCAGCGCCTGGCACAGGTTGAACCTCTGCAGCTCGAGCAAGGCAGAGCAGCGGTCATCTGGCACGTCCTCCTTGGCCATGCAGTACACAGTGGTCAGTACAGCCACTTTGGCCGGGTCCACCTCCACCTTGATATTCCTGGAGGTGGGGGTGATAGCCAGGCCTGGGCAGGTCCCCCCTTCAGCCTGGCCCTCAAAAGGGGACTGGCCCTGGTTGACAGCCAGGGCCTGGCGGTGGGCTCCTGAGGTAACGTGGCGCAGCAGGGCGTGGCGCTGGAAGTTGTCGGTGCCCACTGTGAATGCGTTCTCGGCCTTGCCATGCTTATTCCGCACCAGGGCCTGGCGGCACTCAAGGCAGAACATCAGCTTCCGCTCATAGTCAAAGTCCAGCCAGGTAAACTCCTCTTTCCAGTGCTCATTGAAGTACCGCTTGCACTTCTTGTTGGAGTTGGAGGCCTCTCCGGCTGGTTTCTTCCCAGGGGGTACCATTCCTGTTCTTGGGACAGGGGACCCCCAACCCCCACCCAAATGATCTCACCCTCTTATCTCCCCCATACACATAGACAGCTCTCTTGTTGGGGGAGTTGGTGGGGAGGCAGGAGTGGGGCAGCCTATCAGGCTAATGGGAACCATCTACCTAATTTAGCCTGGAAAGTTTGTTTATTCCTGCTCCACCTGTGGGAGACTGGAGATGAAAGAGACAAGGGAGAAGTGTTAGGGGTCTGTCTTAAAGGGGGTAGGGTGGGGCAATAGGGTTCATGCTGCCCACAGAGCCCTCCCCAGGGCCGTTGGAAATGGGTGGAGTCATGCAAAGGGTCCTACACTGTTATCCAAAGCAGGGGAGATGTAGGAACTCCAGCCTCCTGGGAGGGTCTCCTTCTACTCAGGACAAGGCATTGATTAACTTTGACTGTTGAAGCTTCTTAGAACTCAGAGCTGGAAAGACTCATACCATCTATGCAACCAATTTTTTTTGAGACAGAGTCTCACTTTGTCACCCTCAGTAGAATGCCGTGGCATCATAGCTCACAGCAACCTTAAACTCTTAGGCTCAAGGGATCTTCCTGCCTCAGCCTCTCAAGTAGCTGGGACTACAGGTGCCCACCACAACACCAGGCGAGTTTTTCCATTTTTAGTAGAGACAGGGTCTCTCTCTTGCTCAGGCTGGTCTCAAACTCCTGAGCTGAAGCAATCCTCCTGCCTGGGTCTCCCAGAGTGCTAAGATTACAGGCATAAGCCACCATGCCTGGCTACATGCAAGGAAACTGAGTCAGGAGACAGTGATTTTCAGGGCTGATGAGTGATTTATGGCTGAGCCAGGACTAAAATTTGACAGCCTCACTCATAGCCCAAAGGATGACTTCACCAGCCATGGATTAAGGAATGGGATTTGCTTTCTCTAGAGCTCCCTTCCCTACACATACAAGTGCGCTCTCTCTTTCTCTCTCTCACACACACACAACACTGGTAGTGTGGTTCTAGGAAGGGCAACCCTAACTAGGGATGCTTCAGGGGCTGAGCCCCAGACTGAAGGCTCCAACTGGTTGCCTCTACCTTCCCCACTCTACCACCTCACCAGGCCAGATGTGCAGTTCAGGACCAGAAGCCCATTTCCAGCCACTGGCTCAAACATGCCGATTCTACATCCTAATTATCTCCCCACTCTGTCCCTTCCTCTCTATGCCTCATGGTAACAGCAGTACCATTTATTGGGTATGAACAGAGTTAAGCCCTGTGCTAAGTACTTTACAATGCTCCCTGAGAAGACCAAGGTTACTCTTTTTTGTTTTTTTTGAGACAGAGTCTCACTATGTTAGCCTTGGTAGAGTGTTATGGCATCAAAGCTCACAGCAACCTCAAACTCTTGGGCATAAGCGATTCTCATGCCTCAGCCTCCCAAGTACTGGGACTACAGGTGACTGCCAAAACAACTGGCCATTTTGTGTTGCAGTTGTCATTGTTGTATAGCTGGCCTGGTCCAGATTCGAACCCACCACCCTCAGTGTAGGTGGCCGACACCATAACCACAGTGCTGTGGGTGCAGAGCCAGGACCAAGATTACTTTTTTGGGTGGCATTTATCCTCCCCACGCCTCTGTGACTTCAACTGACTTGCCCAAGGTTTCAAAAGTGGCCTGCCCAAGTAAGTGACTGAGACAGAATTAAAGCCCACATCCTCCTGATCCCAGAGGCCACGCGGAGATCCCAGGCCCCACCACCTCTCTCCTAAGAAGCGCAGTTTAGCCCTCACCAGCTTACCCGGATATTGTAGCTGCCTCTGTCTCTGCTTGGCCACTTCCCCCCACCTCACCTTCAGCCAGCAACCAGCAGCCAGCGAAAGCAGCTCACACACAGATCTGACTGCGTCACTCTCTTGCTTCTACCTCTTCAGCAGTACCCCACTGCCAGTCTACACACCTCACCATGCACCATCGAGACCCTTCCTCACCTCTGAACACTTTCAAAGCCCCCCGCCATCCCTGTCTGCCTGATCAACCCCAAAGGTTCACCATTTCCCACATGCACCAAGCTGTTACTTGTGTCTCTGCCTTCATCCTAACAGCCTAGAATTCCCCATCCCTCCTCTTCTCCTGGCTAATTCCCACTTATTCCTTGACAGTAGCTAAGGCATCCCCTCTGCTACCCTCTTCCCCCGTAACCTGGGCTGGTACCTATCCTCTAGTCCCACAGTCCCCCACTCATGCATCTTTGCAATATAGTATGGAGAATGCAGGGATCCTGTATGTATCTCTGCACTTGGTTCTTGAAAGGCAGGGAATACATTTGTTCATTTTCACATCTCTAAGTCCCTGTATGGGCTGGGCATGAAGATGCTTCTCAGTAAAGGTTGGTTGTTTAACAGAAAGAAAGGATTTATTTTGGCTATACAGACGAACACCTTGTTTCTGAGACTGTCAATTAGATGATACTAAGCTTTGAACCACAGTGACTCTGTTTTGTCCACTTGATATTTATACCCAGAGCTCTGTGTGAAACTGACACATAGGGGATAGGAAAAAAACACAAGGGTAGATGAGGAGAATTCCAGGGCCAGCCCATTCAATATAAGGAAAGGCCATCCATCTTGATAGAGGTGAAACTCACTGGCCCTCTTTCCCTGGACTAAGTGGCATGTGGTGCCACTCACCATGCCTTCCTTGACACTGTTTTCTCTTGGCTTCCAAGACCCATATCCCCTGGTTTTCCTTTCCTCTTAGGCACTCCTCAGCCTCTGCAGCTCATCTCCTCTTCCCAGCCATAAACTGCCCCAAGATTTCAGAACCATCTCTGCAGACCACTCTGAAATATACAACCCCAGTCTGGGCACCACAGGGCTCCATATAGCTGCCTTTCTGTCCTGTCAAGATGGAACAACTCTAGACAGGATGGAACTCTCAAGGGAACAGATATGCTCTCTCCCAGTCATCCCCACCTGAAGAAAGGAGACCCATTCTTCCTAGGTGTTCTGGCCAGAAACCTGCCCTTCTAACATCCACTGCCCTCCACATCCAACACCTGGCCTATCCACAATACATTTTTTTTTTTTAGACAACACCTCAGTCTGTTGCCTAGGCTAAAGTGCTATGGCATCAGGCTAGCTCACAGTGACCTCAAACTCCTGGGTTCAGATGATCCTCCTGCCTCAGCCTCCCAAGTAGCTGGGGCTACAGGTGCCTGCCATAATGCTCAGCTAATATTTCTATCTTTAGCAGAGACAGGGTCTCGCTCTTGCTCAGGCTGGTCTCAATGTCCTGAGCTCAAGGGATCCTCCTGCCTCAGACTCCCAGAGTGCTAGGATTAAAGGTGTTAGTCACTATGCCTGGACCACAATACACTTCTAACTCATCTCTTCTCTCTGCACTGCTGCTTGGTGGCTTTGTCCAGGTCACCTTTATCTTTTGCCTAGACTTATGCAGTTGCTTCCTAATGGCATTCTGGGCTTCCAGAGTAGGCTTTCTTATTAGAGACAGAGTCTCATTTTGTCAACCTTGGTAGAGTGCTATGGTGTCACAGCTCACAGCAACCTCCAGCTCTTGGGCTTAGGCAATTCTCTTGCCTTAGCCTCCTGAGTAGCTGGGACTACAGGCGCCCACCACAATGCCCAGCTATTTTTTGTTGTTGTTGTTGCAGTTTGGCTGGGGCTGGGTTCGAACCCACCACCCTTGGTATATGGGGCTGGCACCCTACTCACTGAGCCACAGGCACTGCCCCAGAGCAGGATTTCTAAAAACTCACTGCTTAAAATCTCTCCATTGCCACCTATGCCTCTAAGGTAGTGATTTCAACCAATGTGCCATGGAACTTGTAAAGATCATAAATTAAATTATTTTTGAAAGAAATTCAAAGCACAGGGGTGGCGCCTGTGGCTCAGTGGGTAGGGCACGAGCTCCATATACTGAGGGTGGTGGGTTCAAACCCGGCTCTGACCAAACTGCAACAAAAAAATAGCTGGGCATTGTGGCATTCATTCAGCCCAAATTTTGTGGAGCACCAGCTGGGTGTCTGGCACTACTGCCTGTAGTCCCAGCTACTTGGAAGGCTGAGGCAAGAGAATTGCCTAAGCCCAGGAATTGGAGGTTGCTGTGAGCTGTGATGCCATGGCACTCTACCAAGGGCCATAAAGTGAGACTCTGTCTCTACAAAAAAAAAAAAAAGAAAGAAGTTCAAAGCATAGTAAGTATATATATATATATATATATATATTTTTTTTTTTTTTTAAGAAGTATTCCCCCCCCCCTTTTTGCAGTTTTGGCTGGGGCTAGGCTTGAATCTACCATCCCTGGTACATGAGGATGAGCCACAGGTGCCACCCAGTATATTATTCTTTAACTCTTTTTTATTAACATAATTTAAATGTGCCATGGAAGTTTAACTATAGGTTCAAGTGTGCCATGAGATAAAAAGGTTGAAAAACACTGCTCTAAGGCCAGTGCCAGAATCCCTTTGAGATCTGCCAAATGCCAGGGTTGCTGACCTCTTTAGTAGCCACTCATGTCTCCCTCCTCTTCCAGCAATGCCAGCCTTCTCACAGTTCCTCCGGAGTGCCAGGGTCTTTGCATATGCTGTCCCTTCTTCCACAATGTTCCTTACCTGCCCTCCCAAAACTTTACTTGGTCTATTCCAAGCTAAGGCCTCTGGCCTTAGCTTAACTATCCCTTCGTCACGTGAGGCTTCTCTGGTTGCCTTTTGCCAGAAATTCCCTTCCTTTCTGTCACTGCTCCTGTTCCCTCCATTGCATACTCCACAGCCTACAAATCTCTGCTTATGTCTGTTAGTTCTGTCGCTTTGTCCCCTCTCTGCACCCCCTCCATGTAAGTTCCTTGTGGTCAGGAAAGGTAATGAACTTCTTCATGTCTGAACCCCAGAAAGTGAATAGTGCCAGACACCCAGCTGGTGCTCCACAAAATTTGGGCTGAATGATAAGAGAGAGCAAGCTTTCAGGAAGAGAGAGCCATGGAGTATCTATTGGGTGGTTAAACAGCTGCCCTTGACATGCTTTCCTCCCAGGATCCTGTGATTCTATGACCTTGGCCAGCCCTCTGTCAGCCACTACCCAAAGGATCTTAGAATGGTGGAAGAGTGTACAAGACCAAGGTGATACCCTTCTGGAAGTTTCTCAGTCCCCTTCCATGTACCTAGAGGCTGGGTATCCTGCTCCATTTTGCAGAACAAAAGAGAAAGTAGGCAGAGCACCGGAAGGTGGAGATTTGAAACGTGTGCTGTCCAAGGCAGGCACCACTAGCTGCATGTGGCTGTTTAAATTAATTAGGATTAAATAAGAATTTTAAAATTCAGCTCACATTAGTTACTTTCCAAGTGCTCAATAACCACTTGTGGCTAGTGGCTATTGTACTGGACAGTGCCAATAGAGACTGTATCATCCCAGAAAGTTCTATTTGAGGTCAAAATCCATGACACTCCCCCCACCTCAAACTGAGGGAACCAAGCTGGGTGGGGTGAGGTATAGATGAAACATGACTACGTGGGTTCAACTGTGATCAAGGCTGACCAGGAGGGCACACCTGTCACAGACCCAAATCATTCACATCTCTCATACCCTGGCTAGCTAGATGCAGCCAACACAACTTGTGGGCCCCAGGATGGTTGTGTGGGGGGTCTGTTCCCCCTCCTCCCTTCCACCTCCGTAGGTGAGCCTCGAAGACTATTGATTTAGCCCCAGGATGGGGGTCCACAACCTCCTCCCTAGGCTCCTTTGGACCCATTCCTTGAAGACCCCACTAAGAGAAGACCATAATCTGGTCAGTTATGTGCCAGGCTCCCCGCACCCCATCACCCATCCTCCCGGGAGCTAGGACGGGGAGGGCTGGTGAACTTCCTCTGGGGGGCGCGTGGGGACCAGCCCTCGGCTGAGTCCGGCAGAGACAGGGGCCTCTGCCCGCCCCGCCCGCGCGCTCCTGGAGGGGGCGCCCAGCCCGGCCCGCGCACACCGCCCCACCCGCACACACTCACGGAGACACGGGAGCCACCATCTTGGGCGGTGGACGCTCTGGCCGCGGTCTCCTTGGGCTCCACTGAGCGACAGCAGCCACTAGCGGTAACGGGGGCGAAGAGGCGCCGGCAGCCCTCGCGGTGGAGAGCAGGGCGGGCGCCCCCCCCCCCACCCGGGCTCACCTGGCCGCGCCTACCTGCGGCGACTCCCGCCCGCCAGGTGCGTTCGGTCGCCTCGCCTAGCTTGCGCTGCTGCACGAGTGACTCAGGCTAGACCGCAGGGGTTCATTCAGTCCTCGCGGGTTCCTAGAGGACCTCATATAGTCGCGAGAGACAGGGGTGGAGGCTACAGACGGCCAAGTGCTCTGAGAGTTAGGAAGCAAGTGGATTGGGATCACTCGGCAGAGGGAGGTCAGCCAAGGTTCTGCAGAGCGAGTCACTTAGATTTCTCTGCAAGACAAGTTAAATTTTACCAACAGCACGGCATTCCAGGCGATAGGATGGCAAAGCAAAGACCCATCAGGAAGTTGAAAGTGCCCTGCACGTTCAAAAAGGTCTAGGTGGAGCCCAAGGGGCCCAGTAGTGCCTGATGCTGAAGGCTCTAGGGGGAATGCTGGGAACTTGGATCTTCCTACCTTCTTGCCACGAAGGAGTTTGAGCCCAGTGTTATTTATTTATTTATTGCGACAGCGTCTCACTTTGTCGCCCTTGGCAGAGTGCCATGGCGTCACAGCTCAAAGCAACCTCAAACTCTTGGGCTCAAGCGATTCTCTTGCCTCAGCCTCCCAAGCAGCTGGGACTACAGGTGCCCGCCACAATGCCTAGCTATTTCTAGAGACAAGGTCTTGCTCTGGCTCAGACTGGTCTTGAACCTGTGGGCTCAGGCAATCCATCCACCTTGGCCTCCCAAGGATTACAGGCATGAGCCACCGATCCCAGCATTTTACTCTAATGAGTTATTTGTAATGGGATTGACAGAAGTACTGGAGAAGGAGGGAGGGTAGGGAGTGACCTATTCCTAGACTTCTATGTTAGATGCACAGGCAACCCTTGCCCCTGTCTGGGTTCCCTGCAGAGGTAAAGGGAAGGGGTGGGTTTCCTACAGGAGGAATGTGGGGTGTAGCACCCTCCTGGACCCGTAGTCTTAGAGGCCTAGGATGGAGCTCCAGTTATATTTAACTATGAGGCCTTAGACTGGACACTTAGCTATAAACCTCCATTTCCTTATCTGGGAAGTGGGAATTACAACCAGGCAGGAGGACAGGGCAGGACAAGAATAGGTCTGAGGACCAAATGAGCTACTGGGTGTGGAGGCCATTTGAAGAGGGAATGGGCCTGCCCCTGTGGATCAAGGGGATGCCAAAGCACTTGGTGACCCAGTCTCCCCTTCTAGGTAGCATAAAGTCATCTGGAAATGCCTTCCAACCCTCTCAAAATTGAGTACACTGCTCTCCTGCAGAAGGCCTAAGGCACACATCGATTTGAGGTCCCAGCACACCCAGCCCCTCCAGTGGCTGCTGGGAGCTCCTTCTCAGCACCCCTTGCCTAGCACTGCCCTGTGTCACCCCCATATGCCTTTGACATTCACAATGAACCCTGGCCCCAGGGTTGCTGGATGGTGCATGAGTCAGGGCACATGTACAAACACATGTGGCCTGGCTCCTGGCTCCACTCAAATGAAGGGCAATGATGCAGCCCCCACAGCTGCCTCAGAACGGCACATGAATTCTACATCTCTGCAAGAGTCAGGTGGGGGGTAGGTCTTCTTTGATGGCATTTTGCAGCAGAATAGCCACTCTAAGTGTCTTGGAGCAAGCGGTCCAAGCCCATCCTCGCCAGGGATTCACAGCTCCTAGGACTGTTGCCGCAAAAAAGTGGGCTGGTTCTGATTAAACATATGAACAAACCAGACTAAGTGCAGAAAAAAGGCTGACCCTGGAGGTCCAAGCAAGGCTGAGGCAAGGGCACAGAGCAGGCCTCTTATGAGATAACACCACTGTGGCTGCCACCCAATGTAGAGGATACAGGGAACCACATCTTGTTGTTTTGCCATAATTGGAAAAGATACACACACACACAAGAACATGGGAACACACACCCTGAGGTCCATAGGCACCCACAGATAGTGAAAGGCACAGATACCAAGGCACATGGGTACATATATCTGTCCAGTTAGATGTTTTACGGATGTGTGCACATATGGAGGGGGTATCCTTGCCAAGATAGAGAGATATACATGCTGGCTGAGAGGCAAAGGCAGGCACACTGGCCACGCATGAGCACTCACGTATCATAGATGGGCACGGTTGACAAAGACATACTTGTATATATACATATCCAGAGAAACAGACGTCCATGGACATGCAGACCCCTGCAGATGCATATTCAGAGAATATGAAGCAATAGGCATGCAGGGGCACACATCTTCACAAAGACAGATGCACGGACACAGAGAGCCATAGGCAGATAACGGGATAGGTGTGTACACACACTTCCCTTACAAAACTAAATGCACTGGACTTAAAAGAGCATATAGCCCACTCCCATTCCCCACCCTGACCCAGAGTCACGGAACAGACAGTAGGGCATGTACGTGCACACAGCACATCTCAGATAATAATGTTGTCATTTCTATCACAGATAAACCCAAAACTCTGCAAAGAAAATGGCAGTCCAAGGGAGAGAGCGCACCAAAGGCAGGGAGTGGAAGGTTGACCTGAGACCCACTGTTTGCCTGTTCCCCAGTAGGATTCTCATGGCCAGGGGATTCCTCCCCACATTCTCTAGAGCCCCCCACTCAGGATGTGTTGATGTTCCAGATTCTCCCCACCCCCAAGCTAGAGAACCCCCCCAAAGCCTAATCACAAAAGAAACTGTCGCCAGCCCTACTACCTCCAGGCCCTTGCCCCCAGTGAAGGGTGATGGGTATCTCACTCACAAAAGGCCAGGTAACCTCCTGTGCGGAGAAGTAAGCGGGGAGACCACAGATTAAGCAGGGGGCACCAGTTCTGATCCCAGTGTAGTGGCTGGTTCTCAGGGAGAAGCCCACCCTGGTTTCTGTCTGCCCCCTTCCGCCTACCTCTCTGCTGCGGTAACAGCTTACTCTTCAGCCCCTTCAGACTTTTCCCCCTCCCCTGGCCCCTTAGTGGGGCTTGAAGGTGTGATCTGATACAAGGCAGCTTTGACACAGGCTCCCTGAACACTCATTTCCTCGGATGTGCAACACACCTGGTTCCCGCAGGGTGCGCCTCCACCTCCCCAGCCCTTCCTGCCCTTCCCTCCCCCTTTGTCCTCAGTCAGAGTGGGGGCTTCCCCACCCACTCTTGGACCTAGGAAAGGGTACAAGAGTCACCTGGCAGACGACTTTGGGGGACCAACAATAGCAGGAAAAGGACAGGGCAGAGAGGAGGGGAAGAGGACGGTGCTAGGCTAAGCCCTCTCCCACTCCCCAGCCCGGGCGTCCTCAGCACTCACCCAGGAGCATTCTCTGCCTTTGGAGGCACTGTGGAGTAGTGCAGAGCGAGGAGCAAATGAAACCCAGCCAGAGTGACAGAGGGAAGGGGGGATGTGAGGGACAGGAGGGAGGGCACAAGGGAGGGACTCCTGGTCTTGCCTGGAAAGCAGGATTGTTACTGTGCCGTCTCCTCCTGGCAGGGAGGAGCGGCCCACTTATTCCCTGGTTTCCCGATCCCTGTCACAGGTGGAACAGCCAGGGCATGTCTTTCCCCAAGGGGAGGAATGTGGGGCAAATGTGGAGATGGGGGGATGAGGATGGGGAGGGTATCAGGGAGCATTCTGCCTACTCCCTGCTCCTGGAGGGTCCCTGCCTAGTGCCTCTTACGCTGAAGGAAGGGTTGACTTTTCCACAGAGGCCTCCAGGGAAGGAGGTGCTGCTGGCCCCTTTGCTGCCTGCCTGAAGGTCTTGCCCCTCCCCTGCTCCAGGGCTTGTTGCTGCAAGCCTTACTCATTCTTTCCTTGCCACCCCCTTGTCTTTACCTGTTTTTGCTGAAGGGGAAACTGAGGCTCAGAGAGGAGTTATCACTTCATCACAGAGTGTTGGCCATGGGGTTGGGGGAAGGGAGTCCAGGTGTCTTGCCACTACTAGTCCTCCAAAGCCAGGAAGGAGGGGGGCATTCATCTGATCACCTAGAACTTCTGATTCTCCTCCCCAGTCACCCCAGCCCCTTTCTCCTCCATTTGCTTCTTCCTCCTCCTCCTCTTCCTAAATGCTGGCTCTCTACTCACTAGCACCTGGTGGCTGGGAGGGGGTGGGATGGAGAAAGAGACAGCCAACCCACAGCTGGATCCAGTCTTGCATTCCAAGCCCCCCACCCCCTCAGCATCCTGTCTCCACCAGACAATAACCTGTAATCTCCAGAGCAGCCAATACCTAACCACAAAGGAGGTCTGGGAGGGCTGGCAGCAGCGGCTCCTGAAAACAGGTTTGTTAGGAAGGGGCTCTGGGGGGAAGGAGCTGTTTGTGTGGGGAGAGGAAAGAAACTCAAGCCCAGAGCTAATTAACCCACCCAGAGACAGACAGAATCTTTGTCTTCTGTGAGGCAGGGATCTGAACTAAGCCCCCTAATTCCCTACCCAGACGACCTTGCTCTTCCTGGTGGTCTTGCCCAAGGGTGGGGGCTGCTGATGGTCAGGGCCTGTGGGAGAGGATGTGATGGGCATTCGGAGAGAAAGAGTGAGGCACTTCCCTCACCTGCCACCAAGGAAGAGGAGCAGCAGAAGGCACTGGTTAGACTGTAAGAAGAACTCCTCAGTGGCCCAAGAAGCATAATTTCTTTGAAATGTGCACCCAGAAGCCTCAGCATGGGTATGGGAGGGGGTGACTGAGGAGAAGCCAGCAACCTAGGGAGATACTGAAGGATGGGGACAGACTAGAGGGCTTCCGGGCATCCTGATGGGAGTGAAATTAATCCAACTGTGTTGAGTGGGGTGGGGGGGAGGCTCTCATCAAGCCAGTGACTCAGGCATGACCTGAGCTCAAGGTCTTTGATCTCCAGGGCCCAGAGTGCAGCCAGAGGCTTCCACAGTCTGGGGAGAGATGGGACTGATTTGAACACGAGCTAAAAGGTATGAGGGTACTAAGTAAGGGGCTTCAGCCTCCCACTCTGGCCACTACCCTCTATCCCACTGAAAGACACAGGAACATCTGGTGCAGCTGCAGCTATCCCCGGAGTGTCTACCTTGCAGTCCCACCCAGATCCCTCTGGCCATTTCAGCAAGCCAGGACTTAAGTCATTTCCCAAATCCCCTTGTCTCCCCTCCAGAGGGATGAAGGGAGTAGGGGCAGGCCACTGCGCATTGATGGCTGGGTTGATCCTGCCAAGAGACAAGGGAGAGACTGGCTGACATTTGGATCCCCCCCCACCCCCAACCAGCCTAGGAGGGCAGGATATGGCTGGCATCTCCCCATTTTTCAGTTGAGGACACCGGGTCACACAGAGCAGAGGAGTGGCCGTGGGCCCAAGCATTTGTGGAATGCTCTTGCTGGGAGGTGGCCTGCCTTCCCTGGGCCATCCTCCTCCTCACTGCCAAAACATTATGGCTCCATCTCCTAATATGTGCTGCTGTCCTCAGCTGGGCGTGGGGGTGGGTGGTGTGAGGCGGAATCTGAGCCCAGTTATGTGGCCTAGGGTATATTACTTCTTCTCTCTGAGCCCCAGTGTCCCAATTTGAAAAGTGAGGACTGATGCCATCATTACTCCTAGGATGGCTGGGGGAGGGGTAGCACATCTACAAGTGCTGCATAGACAGCTCAGCCCCAAAGCAGATGCTCCCCATGGGGCTGGGGGTGGCTCACAGAGCCTCGCCTTTCTGTCCCCTTATTCCCTGTGCTGGCCTGACATCCTCTTCAGAGGTTGGAGCTAGGTTAAGCCAGCAAACCTTTCTCTCTGTGCAGATGTTGGGGACCACGCAGAGCTGTGTGTAGGGGTATGAGCTGATCAAGTGGTCATTGAGTTTGGCCTTATCACAGGGAGGTTCCGGTGCCCATACCTCCCTTAAGAGGGTGAGAGATGGCTTAAGATACATTCCTGAAGAATGAAAAGGCCTCCTGTGTGGGAGAAAGATGTGGGTGTGGGCAGGGAAAGTAGAGGAGACGGGGAGATGGGAACGTGTGGGGTGCCTTCTGTCTCTGCATCCTGTGCCACCATGGTACTCTGGGCTCACGTGGGGCCAGGGGCCAGAAGTGACAATTCGAGGAGCCAGGCTTGGCTGAGGAAGGAGGCCTCTGACTCAGGCATTGGTGAGAAGGCTCGGAGAGGAAGAGTGACCCCCACCTCCCTCCTGCAGACCAGATGGCCTGAGGGACATGAGCAGGAGAGGGTCCCTGCCTCACTGCTTGTGACTGCCTGTCACTGTGGAAGCCTCCAGCCCCACAGGCCCCTAATCAAAGTGACAGCTCACAGGGAACAAGTGGCCTCCTGGCTACCACAGGACTGAGATCTCGTGTCTCAGTGTAGTGTGCAGCCTAGACAGCTAGTGTCTAGGAACAAAGCAGCGTGGTAAGGGCTCCCCACACTTTGCCTCAGCCCCCTTGAAGTAAGCGTGGCTCTCCCCACATTTCCCCCAGGAGTTTGCTCAGCTGCACCCTAAGGGCTGTCTGCTCTTTGTGGAGAGGGGGATGCTGGCCCAGTCCCCATCTCAGGCAAAGCTGGAAGGGGCATTCAGGATGGCTGACAGCCCTGACATGCCTCCCCTTTCCCCACCTCCACCTCAGTTGCTAATACCTTCTTGTTGGTTCCTCCCCCTCTAGATTGTGAGTGTCCAAGATCCAAAGGCAGGCCCCGGGGACTACTCAGTGGAGTATCCCATCCACCTGCACAGGCTGGGAGAGAGCTGGACATAGAAGTGATGGACAGACAGACAACCGGATGGGCAGACTTAGCAGGTCTGATTTAAGAATTTAGACTGCAGCACCCAGCCTCAGGCCTCCTGGAGGCCCCAGACCAACCCAATACTGAGGAAGGCAGGCATGCGGGAGGTCCCCATAGCTCTGGGCAGCCTATCCCTGGCCAGGGGTATTTTGGAAACTAGTTTTTTCTCTTCAACCCCACCTGCTTTCTCCACTTTGGCATGGCTGGGTGGGCAAAAGAGGGGCTGTTGGCCCAAAGACGCTGTGTTCTAGGGGAGTAGGAGCCAGACGACACCCTCGGGCCACAGGCCTGGCCTTCCCCACCCAACACCCAGTCCTGCTTCCCTCTCAGTGCCCCCCCCCCTTCTAATAACTAAGCTGCCATCTACAGCATGGCCACAGCCAGAATCATCCAGGCTACCTCCCTTCCCTATAGCCCCCCACCCCATCAGTTACCACATCTTGACTGTTCTGCTACAGAAAAGGCTCTAGAATCTATTTCTCCCTCTCATCCCCCCTTTTCTTCTCATGAACCCACAGTTCTCACCCTTCCCCTTTGCCAGAGACATCTAGAAACACTAACTCCTGCTTAAACTCATTTGGTGATACCCCCTTTAGAACAAAGGCCAAAGCCAGTCTGGTGGCAAGTCTCTCAGAGGTAGTTCTTGCTTTCTCCACGACCTCCCCCAGGCTCACGGGATACCCAGCACACGCCCAGGACATGCTCACTGCTCCTGGGGGGCCACAGGCTTTCAGGTCTTGGCGTGTTTGCTCCAGCTGCTTCCCTGCCTGGGATTCCTGCTCCGTCTCCAATATCTACCATCACTATGCTGTCTTTGAAGCTCTTTCTGACTTCTTGTTCACCTCTCCCTCCTCTGATTTCTTGAAGCACCCTGTACCCATCTCTGGAAAGCCTGTTATTATCTTAGAACAAACTTGTCTGCATGTGTGTTATTTTGACAGCTCTTTCCTGACAGGCAGATATGACGCCTTTTAATCTCCCAACAGCAGCTTGCACTTAGTAGGTCATTGATAAACATTTGATGAATTAGTGAGTGACTCATGAATCCAGACGCCTGCTCCAGAAAGATCCAGCAGTCAGATATACATCTTGCTCAGAGTCCCAGCCTCTGTTCAGCTTCCACCATGACTCCTGCCTGGAATGCCCCTCCTCTCCTCACGCATCTTCCAGGCTCAGCATCCCATCCTTCAGAAGGACTTCCCTGGTACCCCCAGGGAGAACTGCCCTTTTCCCTTTGTGTGCTTGGGGGTATGTCCCATGTGGCACCACAACATTCCTCTGTTCTTTTCATGGCTGTCTCTACCCAAAAGACAGACTCAATCTTGGGACAGATGCTGAGTAAAGACTGGATCTTATTTGTCTCCAGCCTCCGGCGGGTGGGGGGAACAGTGGGTGCCCCATGAATAGCACCGAAAGAACAGGCAGCTTACAAGAGGGTGTCTGAGTTCAGAGCGTAGCCTCTGGCAAAGCTACTGCCCTTGGCTATAAGGAAGGTTTCCAGTGGCCATTCCCTAGAGACCAGGGTTAAGTTCCTGTCCTTCCCACCTCCTCACACCGGGCCTGGCTATAAATCTGTGTCTCCTGGCAGCCAGCAGCCTGAGCCATTCCTATTTCCCCATGGCCCCTCTGTGCCTGTCAGCCAGAATCACTCTCATAGATGCATTCACCCATTTCCCCCGGAAATCTGCCTTGCAGCCAGCTGCCCCTTCAGTGCTCACAGCCAAACCTCTGCAAAGTCACCCCAGCTAGGGAGAGCAGAAATCCCGGCCAGGAGTCCAGCAGCCAAAGAGAGAGGTGCCTGTCATTGTCCCTTAGTGGGAGTGCTGTGAACCTTGCTGACCTTACTTTTGGAGACCAGACACAGAGCAGGAGTTTGGCACACCTGCCCGCGAGGCGCTTGTCTGAAAGACTATCCCTGCCAGGGGGCTCCAGACTGGACAAATGCTGCTTAGAATCCTGATTCCAAAAGACCCCACAGGGAGAGCCCCCAGAACGAGACTCCGAGGAGGCTTAGTGACCTGCAGTTCCTGAGAGATCCCCTAGAAGGATTATCCAGATGCAAAACTTGATATCAGGGGAACCTCAGAACCTAAGACCCCATTGAGGTTACCTCAGACCCACAAGAGGGAGGCCACAGATCCAAAACTCTTCAGAGTGGCCCAGAGAGATCCTCCCCTGGGGAGGCCTAGACCAAGGTTGTGGGAGCAGTGCCCCTCCACACTGACCTGGCCCTGAGGGGATCTTCCCCAAGCTGAGCTGCCGGAGCCGCCTCTGGTGGGCCCGCCCCCCGCAGTGCACCTGGGCCTGGGCTGCCGAGTTCAGCTGGATGTTGCAGACGTCACAGAGCGTGTATGATGGCCGTTTTCTTTCCCGCTTGGGCTTAGGTGGTTCTGGGGGCCTCGGGGGGCATTCAGCAGCTCCAGATATGGGGGGCTCCTTCTCAACTGGGGGGGATGGGCTCAGTGGCCGCTTCATACCTGGGCAGACAGAGACAAATGAAAGGCTTAATGGTCATGAATACATAGGAAGGAGCAGACGGGGAATCGAGACTGGGAGCTGCCTAAGCTCTATATCCTAGCTGAAACTCCCCAGCTTGTGGAGACCCCCAGCCTAAGGATGGGTAAAGGGAGCATAAAGGGGTCCATTTTAAGCAAAGCAGCATTAAAATATGGGAATATCTGGGAGGGCATCAGAAATGTCTACAAGCTGGAGGCCGAGACACCTGGGTACGTGGAGGGCCACAGAACAAAGTTCAGAGGCAGAACCTCAGGTCCTGGAGGCAAGGTGGGCACTGCAGGAGAGGCAGCAGCAGGGCTGTGGATTCCCATTTGGGGAAGCCAGAGTCCTGTTCTCAAATCCACATCAAGCACCAACGATCCTGTGACAGGCAGGCATGTGGCGCTTACTGGAGATGCAGCAGCCACTGGCCAGAAACCCAACCTTCCTGTGCCCTGTGCCCAGCAGGGTGACATTCACAAATAGTGACAGTGTGCGAAGCCATTCCAACTCCTGCCCTGTGTGGCTCCAGATGCCCCTGCTGTCCTGGCCACTGAGGCCGAGGCCAACAGATGGTGGTTTTGACAGAGACCTGAGCCCTGCTGACTGGATTTGCTGAATACAGCCATCACACGTACACACATCTGCACCTTACATCACCCCTCTGTGCCCCCCATTTTCCGCTTACTCTTTCCTTTCCAACTCACTTCTCTGGAACTTTCTGTCTGACTTGTCTGCCTCTAACCATCACCCTTGTGAGGCTGCCCAACTCCCTTTCTCAGACTGAATTGCATTAATTTTCACTTCCTTCCTGAATCTGTGTGTGTGGTTCCTGCCTCTGCTTCAGATGGGGGGCTTCCTAAGAGTAGGGTCTGTGCCTTTCCTTAGACTGGGGCAACCCCAATCTTAGAGCCTGGGTGAGTCATGGCAGCCCATCTCTCCTGTTACTAACTGAATTGTATCCTCCCCCAAATTCATATGTTGAAGTCCTAACCCCCAGGACCTCAGAATGTAACTATATTTGGATATAGGGTTTATATCAAGGTAACTACATTAAAATGAGGTCATATGGGTGGGCCCTAATGCATATGACCAGTTTCCTTACAAAAAGAGGAAATTTGGGCAGACAGTTACAAAGGGAAGGCCATCTGCAAGCCAAGGACAGAGGCCACAGGAGAAAGCAACTCTGCTGACAGCTCAGTCTCAGACTTCTAGTCTCCAAAACTCCAAGAAAATAAATTTCTGTTATTTAAAACACTGAGACTAATACATCTCTCCAAAGAGCATTTCCTACATCCGTAGGCCCACACTCAGTTTGCACATCAGACAAGCCAAGTGATGCCATAATGTCCTCACAAGACCACACATCCAGTGTGGAGCCTACATGTGAACAAGGAAAATTAATTTCACAGGTCCACAGCCAAGAATCTGCCTCCAGTCCCTGGATGCCTCCCCATTCTCAGTAAGCTGCTTGTCATTTGGTGGGCAGTGGTCCCACATAACATGTGTCTGTCTTTATACGCATGGGCACTGTGTGTGGATGGAGCACAGGGGGCACAGCAATGAAGGGCAGCAGCTCCATGCTGCTTCACACCTGGGTTCAAATCTCAGCTCTGTTGCTTACTGCTGGGTAATCCAAGCCCAGTTCCTTCATCGTATGTCTGTAAAATGGGGGTGATTGGTAACACCCCTAAGTCATACATGCACCATGGGGAGTAGATGAGCTGATCTCTCCAGAATGCTTCTCAGTGTCCTTCAAAAGTCATCAATTACTAATCTATGTCTTACCACTTGTGAGTGGAGTCACCTTGTCCATCACCCCAAATGTCTGTCAGTATGTACCTGGGTTACTGTGTCTCTGTCATGCCATCATTATTAAGATGAATCAGTGTCACTCGGTGGGCATGTGACAGTGTAGCTGTGCCATGGGGTGGATATCATTGAACTCAAACCATGAAATGAGACTCTCACTGAATATTTGAGACTGTGTGCCGAGGTTGAATTATGTCTCCTGCCACCAAAAATTCAATTTGTTGAAGTCCTAACCCCAAGCACTTCAAAATGTCAACATATTTGGAAATGGGTCACTGCAGATGTTATTAGTTAAGATAAGGCTATCCTGGTATGGGGTGGGCTTCTAGTCCAATATACACAACTAGCATGCTTATAAAAAGGAGAGATTTGGCCATAAACACGTACATGGGGAGAATTCATATTAACACGAAGACAGAGATTGGGGTGATGCATCTGCATACCCAAGAACACCAAGGACTGCCAGCAACCCACTAGAAGTGAGGGGAGTGGTAGGGTACAGATTTCTCCTCATGGTCCTCAGAAGGAACCAACCTTGCCAACACACTTTGATCTTGGACTTCTTACATCCCGAACTGTGAGACAATAAACTTCGGTTGTTTAAGTACCACCTAGTTTGTGTCACTTTGCTATGGCAGCCCTAGCAAACTAATTCTGACCCTTGTGTGGTCATAGGTGCCTGCTGATTTTGAGGGTCCTGTCGCTGCTACTGTGTAGTGCAGCTGGATGCAGTCCCAGATATGGCCGCCAGGTGGCGCAGCGAGCCTCCCGCGGGAAGATGGTAAAAGGTGAAGACCCAGCACCCCCAGGCAGGACCAACCTCAATCATCTGCACTCAAAGGGCAACTAGGCTGTCCCCCACCCTGGGGCCATACCAGGGATCCAGGGCACAGCTTTTCCAACAGAGGGCACACTGGAGGTCGCTCCCATCACTTTGAAAGAAGACCCTCCATAATACATAGAGCCCCCCACCACTATTCTGTCCCCTGTCACCTCTAGATGATGGTCATTATAGCTTTTCTGTCTTTTCTAGTCTTCCCCCAATGCCAGCAGGAAAAGGGAGGCAGGAGGTCCCAGGTGCAAGTGTTGGGTGAGAAGGTGGGGGTCCAATTCCCCAGGGCAGAGGCTTCAGAGGAATGAGATTTTCATGGCAGTGCCAAAGCTGCCCGCCCCGCCAGCATGGGAACAGGGATATTTTGAAATCTCAGGGCAGTTTATGACAGATAGGCCGAGGACATGGCGCAAGAGAGCAGACAAATATCTGCCACACAGCTGATTAAACCTCTGTGATATACAACCTCTGGGCTCCAAGGGCTTCAAGATTCTGGGATAATTGTGTCCCCTCCAGCCAGGCCACTGGGCCTGCTGCAGCCTGCCCTATCTGACCTGCCTTCCCAGCTGTCCCCTGGGGAGCAACACTGTGCCAGCTGAGGCCATGGAAAATGTGGAGAGGTGGCAATTACTAGGGCATGCACAGGTACAGACCCCTACCATGAGCATTAGAAGATCAATAGCACCCCCCACCCCTGCTGCTATTCAGAGCCAGTGTGCTGCTTCATCCTAGCTGCATCTACCTATCTACCATTGGACAAGACCTTGCCCACATGTTGCCTTTAACAGATGAGGAAACCGAGTCCCAGAGCAGGGCATTGGAGTTGCATCAAAGTAAAATGGCAAGACAGTGCAGCAGCTAATTCTAGAAACTTCCTTGTCATTCCGTGCCTTCTTTATTTAATAATGACCCCATTTATTGAGGGCTTACTGTGTGCCAAGTGCTTTATGCATAGGATCTCTTTTAAACTTCACAACAACTTCATGAGTTGGGCACTATTATTAACCTGTTACCCCACATTGTAGATTAGAGAACAGGCTTTGAGAGCTTTTGTGGCTGGACCTGAACATACAGTTGTCTGACTCAGCCTCAAATCCTTCCCCACTACCCTATTCCAGCTCTCCTTCAAGCGTGCCAAGCCCTGATTTGAACAGCTAGGTAAGGAGGGGATTCACAGACTCTGAAAAGGGCTCCTAAGAGGCTCAGGGCTGTGCAGCCCCTTATAGCCTCCAGGGCTAGGCAGGGAAGTGCCACATCCTGGGCAAGAGGGAGTGGGGCCAAAGAGGCAGGGAAGAAGGACAAGGTGAAAGCAGAGGAAAAGAGCAAACATATACCCTTCTGTCTGTCTGTGTGGGATTTTTACAGGAAATGGGATAAATCTCCCTCTGTTCCCCATCTTTCCTGAGAGAAGGGCTGAGGCTGCATCCACTTGAAGGCAGTCTCACACCAGAGCTGGGGAGCTAATGGAGGCCAGGGTGCTGTCTGCCTGTCTTATCTGTGTGTCCAGATTTGGAGGTGCGGTGGTAGAAAGACCCAGGCAGGGCCCTGGGGTCCCCTTTCCACTGCTCTGGCTAGGTGATAAATGCACTTCAAGGCCATGGATTTCAGTGAGGTCCTCAGCCAATGTGGGATGGTCAGATTCCCTACCTGCCTGTCCAAAGAGGGTAGGATGGCAAAGGACTTTGGAGGCCATAAAGAGGGTTTTTGCAGCTGCAGTCTGGGGTTGGGGGGTCCTCAGGAAAAGGCTGATTGTCCCCAAAGAGTAACCAAAGAAGAAGGCTCTAGCCTGTCCCTCTGCTTTGGCAGAGCATGAAGGGCTCCTTCACCAAACCTTTAATGAGCCCAATTATACTCTGGAATTTCCCCCACATCAGCCAACAGCCACCCTCCCATCTTCTCTAGCCAGATTTCAGGCCCTGCTTATGAGAAGGGAGCCTGGCTGGCTGGCCAACCTTGGGCCAGTCTCTGGCCCTCTGGGCTTTGGCTTCCCTCCTTTAAAGAGAAGGGATTGGACTGAGTTAATCTCTTGGGTTCTTTGCAGGCGGAGCTGCAGTGCAATACAGAACAGCTGCCTCTAAGGTGGAAGGGGGTGAAGGCCAAGCTGTGTGACTCTGCTTTAGCCTGGGAGAAAGGCAGGGTGGGGCATGCCTGTCATTATCCTCTGGGCACTGTGGAAACATTGCCTCAATTGATCCTTGGGGCAATCCTGGGAGGCTTTACAAATGAGGCAACTGAGGCTCTGAGTCAAAAGGAGAGGCAATGAGTGGGGCCAGTTCTCTCTGTTCTATGAGGCAAAGACCCAGGCAGTAAGATGCCAGTCACTTGTGGGGGTCAC